AAAGCCACTGTACTCCACATCCCCTTGCTCTGTGCCTTCTCCAGGATCTGGAGCCCACTCTCCCCATCAGCCTCAGGAAAACAGGAGCCAGCCTGGAGGTGCCTTCAGCTGCAGCCATGCTCGGGATACCGTAATCAGAGGGGCTGTGAGGAAAGGAGAGGAGCACAGAGAGACCAAGGCTCGACAGCAGAGTTGGGTCTGGTCCACACGTGGCCAAGAAGACTTTGCTCCCTGTCACAGCATGACACAGTCCCCCAACACATGCAATTCCACAAATGTGGAAAGATGTTTCCCTACATGAGACTCATTTTGTGGCCACTCTATGAGCTCCTGGCCCTGGAGAGCTGTTCACTTGGGACAGCACTGAGGTCTTTTTGTGCTCCACCCTGCGCCTCCCTCCAGAATGCTCCTGTGGCACTTGGGTCCACAGCCAGTGCTTGCTGGCACTGAGCAGGGTGTGGGGCAGTGCTGAGCCCTCCCCGCTGGCCTCACGTGGCCCACCAACAAGCCGGTTTGATTTGGAGTGGCTGTGTGACAGCAGAAATATGGGATCCCCCACTGAGCCTCTGAGCATCCCTGTTTCTGGCTATAAACCCCCTTCCAAGGAGGGGTCTTTAGAGAGCAGGGCTGAGATGATCCAGAAGCTGAGGCCATCCCCCGCCCCCTCCCCAAGAGGAATTGCTCTCACACAAATGAAATGTGTGTAATTAATGGGCAGGGGGCTGGACAGGTCCGAGATGAAAGCGTTTCCTGGACTTGTCCTTCATTTGCATGGTATCAGAAGCTGTTCAGAAGGTGTGACTTTTCCCACAGGGAGCCCTCAGCTCGGTGGCACAATAAAGCCAGGACTTCTTACCCAGAATTAATTAAAGGAGGGGGAGGGGGATGGCAGGGAGATGTTTGAAAGCTGAGCCTGATGCAATAAACAAACACCCCAGTCCTCCTTCCCAAGCCGGGGCATGCCCAGGGGGGCCCAGGCGAACCCCAACCCTGCCACAGCATCACGCAGCCCACTCCACTCGGTGGGCACCCTTCCCCAAGCAGACTTGGTGGAAAAGTTGTCAAGTGAAAGAAGGGGTGGGTGTGGAGACAGCATGTGCCAAAAGGTTTGGGGCTTACTGGATCAAGCCCTGGTACAGCCCCTGCTCAGACAGCATAGACCCCTTTTCTTGCCACTTGGATTTATTCCTGCCCATCTACTATTTCTATGCCTGGTGTTCAACCTGAAAACACCTCCCTGCCTGGTGTGGCCCTGGTGTGTTCATCCCACATTTACTTCTTACCTCACATTGCCTGGCTGGACCAGATGGTCTTCCTGGTCTCATCTCACGAGGCAGATTCTCCCAAACGTCGCTCAGCTCCAACCTTGTCGCTATGTCCAGATGGCATCGCATGGCAAAGTCCTGTATGGGTAGGGACATGCATGCACCACTACTTGGAGGTCAAGACAGGGCCGTCATCCCTGCACCGACAGCCAGGGCAGTACGGCTGCTCCCCTGCTTCATCTGCCACCTCCCTCTGGCCAGCCAGTGGCAGCGAGGGGATCATAGGGTGACACTGGGTGTGGTGACGCTGGGGAAAGGCACATCCCCATCACAAGGATTTTGCTAGCTCAGAGCAGAGGTTTCTGCCTTTGCTAACAGCATGAGCCGATGGAAGTGAAGAGCCTCCTGTCTCCAGTGCTCTCCTAGGTCCAGCCCTGGCTCAGTGTCCCGCAGTCCCCAGGGCCTTTGGGAGGCTGTGATTCTCAAGCTTGGTCCACATACCCACCAATGATGAAGGAGAAGGGAAAAGTCCCAGATGCCTGGGCTGATGATTGACCCTGTGTGTTCAACTAGCAGCCAGGTTTTCTACATCCCTGGAGGAACAGCAAGTACCACCAGGGACTGTGTCCATCTCCCTACATGGGTGGTGGGAGCTACCAGCCCTGGAGGACTGCACACTCAGAACCCTGCAAGGTCCAGGTCGCTGGGAAGAGCATGAACTGCTCCAGCCACGCAAGGGATTAAGTGGTATCAGTGTAGAGACAGGGTATGAGGAACCATTAATTAATTCACTTACTGATTAACTAACTAGTAGCGAGCTCTTTAATCTTCCAAGCAAAGGCAAAACATTTGCTGACTGGAAGCTGAAGCTGGACAAATTTAAGCAGTAAACAAAGCCCCAAGTTGTAGTGCTCGTAGGCATCACGGCCACCCAAAAGCCCTTTAATGAAAAGGGGCTAATTAGCCGTGGACCAAGTGACCTGGGAAAGCAGAGGGTCCCTTCCCAGGAGCCAGGCCTGGGTGCCTTTTGCAAAGGCAGGCTGTGGCAGAGCAGATGACAAGAGTTGGGGGTGGTGGGCGGTAGAGCTCTGCAAGGACATGGGGGTGTCCATCCCCACCTCAAACCTCCAGGGTGCCAAGTGGCCCCTGCTCCAGCCCTCAGCTGCACCCTGGGATGTCAGGGATAGGGGAATAACCTTACTGGAGGCTGAGCACCCGCACCATGCCCTTCCCTGCCATCGCTTTCCCTGGGGGACAGATAACAAGGGGGAAGATGTCTGCTGGCCTGTATGGAGCCAAGTCCTGCCTCTCTGCTACCCTTACCTGGAGCAGCAACCCAGCACCAATTCACTCGGGTTCACAAAGCCATTAGGAAAAACAATTAGACAAATTAATGAGAGAAAAGCACCCGTTAAGGGCTATCAAACACCATCTCTGCCTGGGGAAAGGCCAGGAGCCATTCACTTTTGGTTCCTGTAGTCTGGAAACCACAACAGGGCTGTTGGCTCCAGGCTTCTGCAGTCCTTGGGTCCCTCCTGGGACAGCCGCTGAACGCAGCCTGTGCTGTCCTGCAGCCCAAGCGTCATCCACATCCTGGGTGACACAGCAGCGATGCTCAGACATAGATCGTGGCTGAGTGCTCAGTCCCTGGGTTTCCCTCCTTGAAATTAATGATATATACTGACAGCTCAGCCTGGCCCACTGCTTCAGCCAGGGGATGGCTCATCCTCCCATCCCATAGACAAGGGACACCCTGACCACTAAGCAATGTCTCAGGCATCTCATTACGATGACTGCCCCAGCAGGGCTGGCCCCAGCAATGGCAAGACTCTCACCTTGCAAGGCTGCTCCATTTCTGCAATTTATTTTTTTAAACATATTTATATTTAACAATTCTATTCGTGCATTTTTCCATGTCTCAGACCACTCAGACCACACGAATCCCCACATCAGCTCCTGTAAACAAGGACCAGCACCTTGGCAGGGCTGAGTATCCACCAAAGGAGGGGACACAACAGCTTGTTTTGCACAGACGCCAAGCTCATCCAGACCAGAGAGGAGCAGCTACTGGCTTTGCCTCCTGGAAAGCCTCATCCCATGCTAAAAACAGTAGTCAAGGCTCCATTGTACTATGCCCCATCCAGCCTGCAAGGGGCCTGTCCTCACAGGGCAAGAAGGTGGCATCTGGCCATTAAACATGGAATTTGCTGCCAGGAATATCATGATCTTCACAAGACTCATCTAGGTCCAAGATCTCAGGGCATCCTCCCACTTCCCACATCTGTCCCCTTGGGAAGGGGATCACGCCAAGTGGCAGCCTCAGTCTCATTCTGCACCTTGCAGTCCTCCTTCACCCCTCTCCAACCTGCCTCTTCAGCCCCAGCCCCTCCCTGGAAAGCATCAGGCTCAGTTAGACTAATACAAATTTTTAATGCACATATTAAATAAATATTTCAATCATTTAATATTTAATTTGTACACAACCAAAACAAAACAAAAATCCTCAAGGAAACAGAAAAAAACCCCAAACAATCAAAAAAGATTGGATGAAAAGTCACCCCTGGTTCTGGCTCCTATCCAGTGTCTTTGTTTGCCCTCCCCGTGAAAAATAATTGCTTTAACCCTTTGGAGAGAGTCGCAGTCCCAGGGCAGCATGTGCAGAGCGGGGCTGGCTGGGGATGTTCCCTCAAGAGATTTAACATTTCCTTTGGGGTTTGGGTTTTTTTTTCTTAATAGAAAATTTGGCTTCTCTCAAGACCAAAATTCTGAAAGCAAACCTCTCCTTTCCTAGGAGAACAAGGACAGTGGTATTTCTCAAAGAGCAAACCTGGAAGAGACTGTTGACAATGGAAGTGCCAACCACAAATTGAGTATTACAACAAAACCAGCCCAAAATGGCTCCATGGTAATTTGTAAACTTTTTTTAATTTTACGGATGAAAATTTCCATCTGATAAAAAAATATAAACAGAAAAAAAAAATATCCATTTTTGGTGAGAAGTTCACATTATCCACACGGAAAAAAAAAACAAAAAAACAAACAACCAGTTACCAGCCCGCTCCACGGCAGCTGTCGCCCACTGCCTCACCTTAGTAGTTTAAACCAAACCAAATGCCAAAGATGCTCTCATGGGTAAGAGGTACGAAGTCAGTTCAGGACTTTCTCTGGGGCATCCATCACCCCTGTCCCCTCCTGAGAAAAAAAAAAAAAAGTTGGGAGTTGTGAAGCCAGCAGCATTTTTGGAAGGATGCAAGCGGCTTCCAGCAACCCCTCACTCAGCTGAAGAAGTAAGCGCATCCAAGGAAGAAAAGCATCCAGCGGTCCTTCCCCTGGGGCGTCGCAGCCAGCCCCCACAGGTAGTGCTCACACATCGCCCAGGCTGCAAAACTCACCCCTGGAAGCCTCCAACCACCTCTGAAATAAATCCTCTCCCCTTAATTGTTTTCCAACCTCTCCATCTTCTCCAGTAAGCCTTAAGCCAGTTCGTTTAAGTAGCACATTGCTCCCAGATTTGGATTTCCTTTTTTTTTTTTTTTCGCTTGTTTGTTTTAAATGGTGATTTTTTTCTCCTTTCCCCCTAGAGCTACAAAAAAAAATTACAAAATAAAGCACAACCCCAAACAGACTAGAACACTTCTAAGTGAAGAGCTCTTGCCCCTTCACCAGTCTTTGAACATTTCATTTCCTTTAAAGTTGGAGTACAAAAATAGAGCCTCTCTTTTTTTTTTTCCTTTTTTTTTTTTTTTGTAAAAACCAAACAACCCCCCCCCAAATTATCAACAACTAGAGCAGGTAATTTCTTTTATCTTCCCCCCACCCTTTTTTTGTGTTTTGTTTAATACCCATATGGGAAAGTCTCTACAAATAGTCCAGCAAGCTCAGAGGAGAGTCCTCCAGGAGAGGTGCGGCCAGAGATGGGCTCATCAAGGGCCCACCTTGGAGCTGGAGTTTCTAGTCCTTTTACTTCTCCGGTTGAAGGGGTAGTTGAGGAACTCAAAGCGTCTGTGGGGCTCAGTGGTCTGGTGGCCCTTGGGAAGCCTCTTCATGAAATGCACCTCCCTTTGGTGCTGCCGGGTCTTGGAGCCCTTGCGCGGGCGGCCCTTGCGGGTGAAGGCCATGTACCAGCCCTCGTACTTGGCATTCTGCAGCGCCGTGTAGTTGTTCTCCAGGACAATCTCCGTGAAGACACAGTCCTTGCCTTTGCCGTTGCTCTGAGAAGGGGACAGAGGGGGGGGATTTAAGCCTATGGTCCTTGGTCAGAGGCTTCTTCTTGCTACCCCAAGTGGGACTGGCTGGTGTGGCAGCAGGGTTGCAGTGCTTGTGGGCAGCTGAGTGCCAGCTTTTCCCACCTCTTCTCCTACAGATCAGAATTGCCTAAAATCTGCTTTTCATTAGAAAACCTGGGTGGAGCAGGTATTGTGGCACGTGCAGACATTGCTCATCGTAGTTTGCATCCCCAGTGTGATGCCAGCATTGGGCTGCAAGCCCCAACATGGCTTGTCCCAGCCTTCATTTACACTGCACCCATAAGGGGATTTTTGCCTGCTCCTGTCCTGCCCCCATCTGTGCCAGGGGCTGGATTCCCCCAACAGCACGACCATAAGCAAACTCTCCATCTCAGTGGCAATTCACCCACCCATCCAATCTCCCTTGGGGTCTTTAATATATGAGGGGCATCAAGAGGCAGGAGAGGAGATGCAGGGTCCATGGAGATGATGCCCACACATGTAGGTGGCAGGGAGTACAGGGGCAGCTGGGGGCTGAGCTCCTCCCCATTACAGGCAGCACTGGGACCAGGGAGGGGACCCCCAACAGCCGGCCCCAGGAGCTGCCATGGAAAATCCTTCCACTCCCTGTCCCTCGATTTT